TATCTTGTAGTCAGAATTTAATGAAGCTATAGGGCGATGGTTATCCGGGAGGGAGTGGTCCTTGTCCAGTGTGGGAATCACCAAGATGTTTGCGCTTGTAAAATCATCATGTGGAAGCAATCCTTTCAGGAGATCCTGGACCAAGGACAGAAGATGGGGGGCCAGAGTGCCAATAAAGGTCCTGTAATATGAGTAAGGAAGACCATCCGAGATTTGTGTGTGGGGAGATATTTGACAAAATCTAGTAATTTCTCAGAGATGTCCTCATTTAGAGCCAGTACATTGGAAGGCGACAAACCTGGTAGTCATAAGGGGTCAAAGAAGGTGTCAAAAGCTGCCTTCTGGAGGAGAGAGTGGACATCAGGAGCTAGGCAATTATAGAGCTTCTCATAATATGTCCCAAAAACAGTAGCCATTACGTGTGGATCATATGTGGGTTTGCCATCTGATTGTGGTGTAGGTGACCTAGCAGTGAGGGAGATGTCTGAGGTTTTAGTCTATTTACAAGCATGCTGTGCGGTTTGTTAGAGAATTTATAGAAATTCTGCCTAGCCCAAGCAAAGTACTGGGCAGTTTTGTGCAGGTCAAGGGCTCTGATTTGGTCATGTAAGTGGGATACTTTCCGAAGCCGAGATATAGATGGTTTGTCTAGTAGTCGTCTTTCGGCTAAGGACAGTTGGCTTAAAAGAAATTGTCTGGTGCTAACCGAGGCCTTCTTTAAATGAGCACTCATGGAGATACAAAGGCCTCTAAAGACAGCCTTGTGAGACTCCCATAGGGGTTGAAGATGAGACAATCGAACCAACATTGCATTGAAAATATGCGTCCAGCCCTTGAGAGAGTTCCTCTTGAAGACAGCCTAAATGCAGAAAACTCTCATTGAGGCACCAGTGACAGACCTTGGGGGGGAGTTAGGGAAAAGGAGACTAAGCGATAGTGAAGCATGATCTGACCAAGTTATAGGATTGATCTCGGAGGAGACCAAAAAGGGGAGCAGGGGAGCAGTGACAAAAAAATTATCTAAGCGTGAGAATACGCGATGCGGAGTACAGTAAAATGTGAACTGTCTATGGAGAGGGTGCCAAACCCGCCAGGCGTCAAAAAGGCAATGCTCCCATATCAGTTTACGGAAAGCTTTTGAAGAGGTTGTATCTATAGATTTTTAAGGTTAAGAACCACAGATAAATGTTAACAAAAGGAAGAAAGCATACAGAAAAATGTATAACAATATAGATTGCTGCAGACGGGAGTTCTGCTTTAAACCTTAAAAAAACTGTTACTGCAAACTACTGAAGAACCCTGCACAATTTTTTCAGCTTGTCCCAAGTTTTGCCACTGTCACTTTTGCTGGAAAGCTTGTCCTGCTTGTAAATGTGAACAAAATAGAAATAAAGTTATGTGAAATAAAAGTGAACAATAATTCATATATCAAATATAATGGCTAAATATGTTAACCACGCATATTACAGAATTAAAAATGTTTGAAATAGTCGTTCTACTATTGGTTACAGAATGCTTCTTCGTTCTTTGTTGATAGAGAGCACACTGTAAACTGTATGACTGTAAAGAAGAATCTGAGGACAAGCCAATCCATCAGGATAATGGCAAGCTGGAATCTTGAGTGCTGACATGGCTAAGCAAGCACTACATCAATAATGGAAAGTTCAGCAATACAACACATTCCAGTTGTAAATTTACCTAGACAGTAACAAGTGCATTATAGCGTGTTCAAATGAATTTACAAGGGCCAACACAGTGTAATGATCCAATTTGGTTTTTTTTAATCTATACTAAATCAGAACTAAACTGTATCTGAGCAGCACAAACTGAAAACGCTTTTTACTTCATTTTTAATATGAAAAGCGAATTAACCTATCCATCCATGTCTCCATGATTTATTTCATTGTGAAATCACCCTCCAAGCATTTCTATCAGTGCCCATCTTGAGAAAGGACAGATGCTTCATGTAGCATTTACTTCCTGGAATCCATCTGCCCTTAGCTCAAGCATGCAGACAGGAAGGTGTGCTTAGCTGAGAAAGCCCCTCCTCCCCTCTACTCCTCTACTTCCTCTACCAGGGAGCAACTGAAGCATTGTAAAAAAAAAAACAAAAAAAAAGGGACACAAGTAAATGCGGTATACCTTCCCATCTATTTACTAATACTGGCAGCATAAAGTTAAAAAAAATAGGCAATGTTGCTTGATAGCAGCGTTAAAGGTAATAACTGATTTGCCTGATGCTGCAATGGTGTTCTCTACCCCAGATCTAGCACCACTTTATGAAGTCAGGCAATGCCAACCAAGGGGACTGTTGGGATAAAAAAACAGCCATCCTCACAGGTTCTTTTAAAGCCCAACTCTAGCGAAACCTTATTCTGTTAGTTATGAATGTAGAATATAGAGATGTAAAATGTCTGGAAATTATGAAGTCATGAGGAAAAAAAAAATATTTTTCTCAGTTTTTTTTCCAGAAAAAAGGCATTTTCGGAAAAATGTAAAGAAAAAATTCAATGTGGAGTAGTTTTACAAATTGAAAGTCATTTTGTTACACTGGGAATATGAAATGCAGGGCATATAAATATATAAGTACCAATACTTTGCTGTGCGATTTGCGTTAATGGATGGAAATTGCACCACAAAGAATAGCATGTGATTTGAAAAGGAATGCGATTGTATCGGTTAAGGTATCTGGAGTATTATCATGGGTATGAGTACTCATGAAAATACTCGGTATTGGCACAGATATCAATACCGGTATTGGTGCATCTCGGTATCGGCACAGATACCGATACTGGTATCGGTGCATCCCTATTATAAATGTAATATACTTGAAATAAAAGTACAGCTTTTTTAGTAAATAAACTAAACTTGCTTTAGAAAATTTGTGATTAATCCTGAAGCATTATGGTCCTCATGATTCCATTCCATAAAGTATTTTTAATGTCTTTAGGGCACCTCTTGCATGCAAGGATGTGTTGTGTCATTCTTGTAGCATTTGGAAAAGAATATTTCTTCTCACAATTGCAGTCAATTCACTAAGACAGGGGTCTCCAAACTTTATAAACAAAGGGCCAGTTTATTGTCCTTCAAACTTTAGGGGGGCTGGACTGTGGCCAGCGGGAGTGGAAATTTTCCTGGCATCAGTGGGAGTAAACCATGCCTCATTTGGTATTAAAGGGAGGAACAGTGTCCTATCATTGGGAGGAAGAGTGCCCCATTACTGCTGTCAATGAGAGAAATGGTGCCCCATTGTTGGTGTCAGTTGGTAGAAACAATGTCTTGTATCAGTGGGAGGAACAGTACCCAACGGTCGGATAAAGGGAAGCAAAGGTCCACATCCAGCCCTAGGGTCACTGTTTGGAGACCACTGCACTAAGAGATAAATACTGCATGATTGTTTAAAAAGACATACATTATTTAACGAATGCGTTTGTGCATTTTTTTTTATATTTATTGCTTACATGTTGCATTATTTTTGACATTTTTTTCTCAATTTGTAATTTTTTATTTTTGAGGGCTAACACTGCACCAGAAGGCGCACAGCAATATTGTGAAACTATGAAAACATCCTAGGGTGCATCATTCACAAAACGATCTCCCTTTGATGAAATGTTACAATTTATTTACATTCCTGAGCTCAGTAGAGAACATTTCTACACTGCTGCATTGTATACTTTTCACTTCCTGTCCATTGCAGAGTTCCACTAAGATCCATGCACACTGGGCTAAAAAAAAAATGCCAGTTCCTGTGGCAGAAAAAAGTGCTGATATAGGCTAGGTTCAGGGGCGGACTGACAGCTCATGGGGCCCCCAGGCAATAGGGGATCATGGGGCCCCTGTGTCCTTGCCCAAACTCAAAAAAGCCTATGAAAACGGTACCAGGGGCATCTCATGGGGCCCCCTACTGACCCTGGGCCCTCGGGCAGTGATTGAGCTTCCAAATGGCTAGGTTCACACATATGTAGGTTGCATTTGAGTCATTTCTGCATTGCGTTTTGTGTTGAATTTTTCTCTGTGTTTTTCTTTTTTTTTTTTGTTTTGTTGCTAGGCAGATTTAAAACGCATCAAAAACGCAATACATGATTTTCTGCAGAAGTCTACAGAACCAAAAACGCAACTTTTTGCATTCAAAAAAAGTCCCCAACCCTTTCCAAAAAATGCACCAGGTGAAAACACACAGATGTGAACATACTCCATAGGAAATCATGTTAAATGGACTGTACTGCGTTTAATGCAAATTGCGAAACACTGCAGAAAACGCTTAAGTGTGAACCTGGGGAAAGAGAAGTTTCTGTACACAGTTTAGCCAAGTTTAGCATTTTTTTCTGCCAGAAAACTCGAATCAAAAATGCAAACGCGATGGGTTATTTTTCCTGCCTCTAAACATTGTTCTTAAAATATGCCTCTAATCGTCCTAATGTGCATAGACACATAGGAAAACACTGAGCTGCTTCTACAGGAAAAACACAAACCTCATGTAGAAGTAAAACATTTTAATCCATTGAGCATGGAGCCATATTGTTATTTTTATACATTTTTAACCACTTGCCCTTCTGAGGATTTACCCCCCTTCCTGACCAGGCCATTATTTGCGTTACAGTGCTGTGTTACTTTAAATGACAATTGCGTGGTCATGCAATGCTGCACCCAAATGAAATTGATGTCCTTTTTTTTCCCATGAATTGAGCTTTCTTTTGGTGGTATTTGATCACCTGTGTGTTTTTTATTTTTTGCGCTATACAAAAAAGACCAACAAGTTTGAGAAAAAATTATATTTTTGACTTTTTGCTATTAAACATGTCCAGTTAAAAATGTAAAAAATCAAATTCCATCATAAATTTAGGCCAAAATGTATTCTGCGACATGTCTTTGCTAAAAAAAAAATCCCAATACATGTAAATTAATTGGTTTACGTGAAAGTTATAGCATTTACAAATGGTGATATACATACTGGAATTTATTTTTATTTTTAATAGTAATGGCAGCGATCGGTTACTTATAGTGACTTGGTGTCATTGACATCCCCAGTGACACCAATACAGTGATCAATGCTAAAACAAGCACTGACGCCGTACTAAGGGCATTGGGCAGGAAGAGGTTAACATGAGGGGTGATCAAATGGTTAACTGTGTGCTGTTTTACTTGTGTCTGTGTGTGTGCTTCACTGTAATCACGCTGTTCACAGCCATCCAAAGCAGTGTGCACGTGCTGACAAGGAGGAGAACTGTATTGTTTATGTACAGTTCTCCTCCCTATCGGAGATGCTTGGCAATCACTGGGCGCCTGTGAGTAATCACCGGCTGGGACCTGGTGATTGACAGCCATGAAGGCGAATGGATACACGTGCACGCCCCCTACCCAGAAATGCAAAATCACATATATATATATGTGTGATTTTGTGCACCCGTGCTGCCCTGTAGCAGTATAATACTGCCAGCAAACACCAGGTGATAAATAACAAATGTGTGTTTTTAGTGAATTGACTTTAATGATTTATCTCATTTTTTTTATGGTATTTATCTCACTATTTTAACAAATATGCAGTATTTACCTCACATTTGATATTTTACTTTGATGAATCGACTCTTTTATCTCATGCAATATTGCCGTAATAATGAGTCATGTGACCTTCATATTGCATGCGGTAACTTTTAGTGAATCGACCCCAATATTTGCAAATTGTAGATTTGCTCTCAGCAAAAACTGCACTGTGGAAATGTTTCCAAACTCTAGATGTTGGTCTCCCCATTTTACTGAGAGAAGGAAAATAAAATTGAATTTATTGAGCAGACTGTAGGTAAACATTATGCTGTGATGGTGGAGAACATTAATAGGAATCATTTAACCACTTCAAGTCCGGACACTTTTACCCCCTCCCTGTCCAGGCCAATTTTCAGCTTTCAGCGCTATCACACTTTACATGACAATTGCGCGGTCATGCAACACTGTACCCATATGATTTTTTTTAGCATTTTTTGAGACAGATAAAACTTTATTTTGGTGGTATTTATTCACCACTGGGATTTTAATTTTTTTTGTATATATAAATGAAAAAGTCCACAAAATTAAAAAAAAAAGTGTTTTTCTTATAACATTTTGCAAATAAATAATCTTTCTTCATAAATCTTGGCCAAAATGTATTCGGTTATCTTTTTAGTAAAAAAAAAATAACCCAAAATTAGTTTATAACCAAAAATTATAATTTTTTTAATTTTTTTTTACGGTTTCTTTTTTTTTATATTATTATTTATGTTTTTGTTTTTTGTTTTTACATACTGTCACCCTAGCAGTACAGTGTAACCATAGTGACACTGTACTACTTGTGGGGGGTGATGAAGATTTTTTTTTTTACACTGATTGCTTTTACACCCATAAAGGCTGTTAAAGGAATAATTTCTCCTTCTCTCTGGCTGCATTCTTGCAGCCATTGAGAAATACTGTGAGAGTTGTGATTGGTCACAGCTTGTCATATGGTACAAGGCTGTTGTGAATGGCCTTGTACCATGTGACCTCTGTGATCATTCACAGATTTCACAAGTAGTAAGCAATGATGTCAGGAAGTGACATCTTGCTTGCTACTATTCATGTGATCACTGATTGGCCAATCAGTGATCACATGATCAGGACCTCACACAGAGGTCCCGTACAGCGATCAGTGTTCCGCTGTGTCTGGAGGACAGCAGGTACTGGATCGCGGTGCAGCGCACTCCCAGAGAGCGCGCACAGCTAGAACATGCGGGTGCCGTTTATGTACGGCCACCCACTCCTGCACTGCTCCCGTCTGGCCATTTATGTACATGGACCAGACGGGAAGTGGTTAAAGGCTAAAAATGTAGCGGTATCCCTGTAGAAGCCAGCAGTTAGATAGGTCCCTGAGGTGTTTTCCCATAGTCTGTCCCGCAGCCAGGCACACAAACATAGTCACTCTTTGGGTCGGTAAACAGTCCGGGGTGTTCTTTTTGGAGTTTTTATTTTTATTTTAAGGATAACTTGGATGGGGATAGTGTGATGCTCCAAAAAAAAAAAATTACGTACAAGGTAAGGAAACTACATTTCTTCTGCAGCACTTTAAGCATAGTCCTTGCAGGGGTCAGTAATGGACCTGGCTTAATTGAAGCAGGTAAAAGGCACAAACTACTTTCTTTAAAGTGTTACTAAACCCACAGCAGTAAGATCAGTCTGTATATGCAGTAAAGCATGTTTGTTATACTCACTGTGGAACCTAAGGGGTTAATCCTCTGCAATGTGTACAAAGGATGTTTGATCCTTTCTTCTCTGATCCTCCCCTTCTTCCAGTGTTCCCCTTTTATCTCCTGATAAGACATATCATGTGGAGACACTCTGCACATGCTCAGTTTGATGTGTATTGCTAGAGAGGTTTTTTTTCTTTTTTCTTGGGAGAGTGCATGTGATCAGCACAGGGCCGGTCAGTACTGTCCAGAAAGAGGTCAGGGGTTTTGTATCCTCCTAGAGCAGAAATAAAACTCCATCTACAAGCTTTAACCAGTGCACTGATGGACACTGATATAAGTCACAAGACTGCTAACTGCTGATGAGAATAAGTATTTAGCAGTTTATATTTACTAAAGCAATTGCATGTCCATGTTCTTTGTAGGGATGGTTCAAGTTGAACAGCCGATCACCTTCAAGCCCCACAATGCAATGCACTCTGGTGGCGCATTGTAATTGGCCAAAGCATTGCACCTGACTGCAATTCAGGTGCAATGCTTTGGCCAATCACAGCTCAGTTCATAATACGCGACATGATTGGCGAAAGTCTCAGTGACTTAGGCCAGCCATGGCTCGCGGTAATTGGGAGGTGCTAGCAGGAACATCACCGCTAGCTCCACCTAATTGTTAATGACAGTTGCTGGTCAGCTGTACATGATTGACCAGAGCTAGAGCTGACATCACCGTTAGCTCTGCCCAGCTGTTTACATCTGACTCACAAATGTCAGATTACGGTGAGTGTGAATTGGTTGGCGGGCGTTGTGATAACGCTGGACGCCGTGATTGATGGATTACAACGCTGAAACCATTTTTTTTTTTTTTTTAATAAAGGACTTGTCAAAAACAGTTGTTTGTTCAATAAAGGATTTTCAAAAGTCTGGTCTCTTTATTTTTTCACACTTTTAACCCTTTAGTGAATGGGTAGGGATACAAGTACCCCTTACTCATTCACAAGGGGGGGGGCAGAATCAGGATACCCCCTTATTTAAAGGGGTACCCTGATGCTATTGAGCCCCCCTGCCTGCAGACCTCCACAACCACCGGGTCAGGGTTGTGGGGAAGAGGCCCTTGTCCTCATTGGCATGGGGACACTGTCCCAATGCCGAGGGCATGTAGCCTGGTAAGGCCCAGGGAGGGGGGGGGTGCTCATTCATCCCCTCCCCCTTTCCTGACCCACCAGGCCTGTGTTTGGATGTAGGGTCTAGTAGGAATTTAGGGGGGACCCCACTCTTTTCCACCCCCTATTTTTTTGGGGTGGGGTTCCCCTTAAAAGTCCTACCAGGCCTAAAGGATCTGGTATGGCTTTTATGGGGAACTCCATGCACTTTAAAAAAAAAAAATGAACAGTGGGTTCTCTCCTAACCTTCCTACCAGACCTAAAGGGTCTGGCATAGATTAGTGGGGGGACCCCATGCTGCTTTTGTTTTTAATAAAATGTCTTTTTTTTTTTAAATGGCAGTCCTGCTACAGTAGGTTCTATACATTGTGCAGATATGCAACTTTGCATGCAGTTTAAGGGGACCCCCCAGGCATGATATTTAAAGGAAGCTTTCAATTTTTGTTTTACTTTAAGCAATGAAAAATAACAACCCCTTTAAAAATTATACTTTTTGAAAAATAAAATTTTCACTGATTCATGTCCGTCAGGGCAGTACATGCGTCCCCATACCCTTTTTATTTCCAATACTGTGCATATAAGCCTTCAAAATGGGCACTTTTGAATTTACAAGTTTGAGTCCCATAGACTTGCATTATGTTCGATGTTCATGGTAGAACTTTCTTCAGGTTTAAACCGAACAGGGGGGGTGTTTAGACCATCACTAGTTCTGTGTACTGTGGGACACCAGATAGAGTGAAGGCACGGTCCTGGGTTTAATAACACTTTAAGTAACTTCAGCAGAGTCCTTTTAGTACAGAATAGGAAGGACTAAGCTCTTCAGGATACCAGCCAGTACCCCTTTTTTCTTGCACTCTTAGCTGACTCTATGCACCAGAGAGGTGCAATCTCAGCCTCTAGGATCTCTCACACAGTCTGTACTCACAAAGTGTTCAGACGAATGGATGCCTCCTTCCTATGACTACCAGTAGTCCCAGACCAGATCCAACCAGAGACAAGATTGGCCCACCATACAAATTACTTAACACCAAAAAATGATACTTGGTTCTGTATTCTCTAAACGGAGTAATATTGGGAGGTGAGTAGGGGGTGGAACCAAGGGATGGTGCTTGGAGGTGGGTATAGGACAGAGATAAGGAGCAGTGGCATCCGAGGCAGGTGCGGGGGGTGCGGTCTGCACCAGGTAACACAACCACACAGGGTGACACCAAACCCCCTCCACAAAAAGGTAAGTTGTAAAGCATCCTGTGGGAATCGTCGGCTTTCTTTACAACTTACCTTTTCTTGGAGCGGGTCCGGTGTCACCCCCCCTTATAGGTTGCATGCGGATGATCCTGTGGGGTGACACTGGTGTATTGGCAAGATGTGTCTCCCATGTAGATATGTCCCCCTGAAGCAACTGCGCATGTCCTGGTTTCAGGCACGATCACTCGATGATAGAACTACTGCTATCATCGATTGATTGTGCCTGAAACCGGGACATGCACAGTTGTCCTGGACCCGCTCCAAGAAAAGGTAAGTTGTAAAGAAAGCTGACGGTCCCCACAGGATGGATCGGATCTGTGGATTGAGAATAGTGGATCAGAGTCCGATCCATTATGCTCAATCCGTAGAGCCGATCCATTCTGCGGGGATCGTCGGAGGGGGTGTCACCAAGTGTTACCACACCAGGTGACACCAACCCTAGAGACGCCTCTGATCAGGAATTACTTGGAAGGTTGGAGTTCCTGCACCTATTCTCTGAGAAAAAAAAAGCTCTGGTTGTGAAGATACAGATGGCAGCAGAAACAAGATATTGGCTGGAGAGGAGCACAATAACCTGCAAACAGTGCAGAGACATGGCTTAAATCAGGAAGTTCATAGGAGGAGCAAATAGTTCAAGGTTCTCTAGAAACATGATGGAAAGTAAGGTAGCTTAAGATTAGGTTCACACCTGTTTGGGTGATTTCTGCTGTGGGACCGCAGCCACAACTATCTGCACTGAAAATTAATCCTAATGGCACACTGTGCACACTGGAAATTGCTCTTTCACAGGGAACCGCACTACACTTGCAGTTCCCGTGCGGACTACGATTTCTAAAATGCTGCAGGGACCTTTTCCCTGCATTTCAGGAGGCATGGCAGCCCATTTAAATGAACAGACTGCCATGCCCACTCAAAATGTGGCTCGCAGAACCACATCAGTGGGAACCAGGCCTAAGGCATCAGGGAGGGAGCTGTCTAGCATTGCAGGTGGCCCAACATGAAGACCACCTACCAGACACAGCAGAGGTCCTGGGTTGACTACCAGGTCCTGACACACAGCTTTTTTTTTTTAAAGTGTACTACCATACATTGCATTACCTACATTTTGAGATCTTTAACCTCCTGTAATTACAGTGTTCAAATCTAGTTTACAATGGATAATGAAATTTGACAGTTCATTACAGACAGGGTTAATTATGGTAACCATACAGGGGTTAGACAAAACACAAAAAAGACACTACATAATTTGCAGGTGTGGAAGTGGAAATGTTTTGCATTGAAAGGGGAAGTGATGTAACACTCTTTTGCTTCCACTGTGTGATGAGACAACTAGCTAACAGGTGGGAAGCCTCACTTTCGTCATTCACTGAGTGTGCTGCTAGTAATACAGAGTCATGTCAGAGCTTACTGAGCTTCAAAGAGGGCAAATTGTTGGTAGCTGGTGCTATTGTGACTGAAGTTGCCAATTTATTTCCCATGTTGTGAGGTACAGTATCAAAGGTTATTACAGCATATACAGTTTCTGGGAAAATGTCGTCTGATAAGCATAAGCACTGTAAACAGGGGCGGACTGACCATTTGGAAACTTGGGCACTGCCCGAGGGCCCAGGTCAGTAGGGGGCCCCATAAGATGCCCCTAGTACCTTTTTCATAGGCTTTTGTGAGTTTGGGCAAGGACACAGGGGCCCCATGATCCCCTATTGCCTGGAAGCCCCATGAGTTGTCAGTCAGCCCCTGGCAGTAAACATGGTCAACTGACCGAAAGAGACAAAAGGACATTGTGCAGGACTGTTCCTGGAATAAGAAAACAACTGCTGCAAAAATGACTGCAGAGCTCCATCTCAGTCTTCACAGCACTTAGTCTTTACAGGACTGAGATGGAGCTCTGCAGTCACTTTTGCAGCAGTTGTTTTATTGTGTCTAAGGATACACATGCTCCCCCTCAGCATTTAGAAGAAGGAGCAGATATTGCAGGCTGGGGCCTCCAGAACAGGAGGTAAGGGACCGCTGGCACAGCGCAGGTAAGTATAAATTATTTTTTTTATTTTCATTTAAAAAAAATACAAGCCTTTAATTGCAGGGACATGCTCTTGTGCAGTACCTGAAAAAGCCTGCAGGGGTGCTCTACTAAGAGCCGGAATCAAAGCCGAAGGCACGATCTAGAGTCCAGTAAGCTTCCGGGTTGCAGAGCGGACTGAGCACGAGGGCCATGATAGTGGTGATGATGGGAGTGAGCGGGTGTGGGAAGTATGTATACTGTGTGGAAGAGAGCGCTGTACATGAGCTGTGCACGGGTAACCAGAGCTGTACACATAGACGACGAGGAGGGAGGAGCAGTGTGCTTCCATTAGGACACAAGTGAGAGGGTCACCTGTACCATATCCAGTAGCTGGTGTGATAATGGGGAGACAGGCGGGTCATATGGAAATCTAATAGTGGGGACCGGGGCTTTCATTATATTACGTCATTGTCTCAGACTATATACTGGACTTTCAGCATCCGGGGAGCCTCTCTGTTCTTAAAGGGGAAGTACAGCTAAAGCTTTTTTAGCTGTACTTCTGTGGATCACAGGAGAGCAGTTTGTGCTGCACTCCTGTGACCTGTTTTCAGCTGACGGGAGGCCAAAGCCTGCCATCAGCTGATGTCACTCAGCCGTTCCAGGCTGGGGGAAGATCCCGACTTCAAAGTCGGGATCCATCCCAGAGTCTGGAGTGGCACCTGGCTCAGCCTGTCAGTGATCTGCAGAGAGCCAGCCTCTCCCTCCCCTTCCACAGCCCAGCTCTCCAGTGAGTGCAGGGTGGGGGGAACAGAGCAGACAGTGGTGACTGAGAAGTCAGCAATCAGAGGTCATGTGACCACTTAGGGGACAAATGTAGCATAGAACCAAAGCTACATCCACCTAGGTAAGTATGATTTGGCAACAACAAAACATCCCATACTTCTTTTAATTGCCTTTTGTATTTTTTTGGCAACTTTTGAGAATATGCAAAATGACGAGGGAGAGAGCAGGAGGTCTTGGAAAGAAGGAAGATAATTAATTGGTTGGTATTTTGAGACTAGGTTAATGGTGTAGCAGAGGGCAAAGCTGTGAATGGCTTTTTAAGTTGTTAGTACTTTGAATTTAATTTGTTGGGTGAGTGAAGCCAATGGATAGATTGGCAGAGAGGGGTAGCAGACACTGAACAGTTGGTAAGGTGGATGATTTTGGCAGCAGTATTCATGATGGACTGAAGGGGGTAGCCTATGTAAAGGTAGGCCAGTGAGGAGAGAGTTGCATCTCTGGTTGCAAGAGATGACCAGTGAGTGAATTGGGCCTGTTGCACATTTTTTTTTTTCACAGATCTGAAATGAGATGCATTGTTGTCCATGGGACAAAGTGCACAACATGGGACAGTGCACACAGCAACAGTAAAGATTAGTAATACAGCACAGAGTCCAGAGCCGTGAAACAAAAACAGAAAGGTTTAATTGAGTGCAGTAATTTACTCGCATATGTGTTTTTACTCCATCTATCAACATGTTTACACAAGTATACATGAGTATATTACAATACTGGCAATGAAAAAGACTTGTCTATCGCTTAGTCACCTTTACTCGCATATACTCAACATTACTCGTTCTTTACGCACAGTTTTTTTACGCAGTGACTTTGTCAACAAGTTCCTGAGTAAACGTCAGTAAATTATGATGCCCATGTGCAAGGGCCTTAGAAGTTTTGTGGTGTCATTGGTTAGAGAGGCATAGTTTGGAGATGCTACAGTGGTTGGGGCGGCAGGCTTTGGAGAGTGATTGGATGAAGGGTGAAAAGGAAAGTTCAGAGTCTAAGATTACACCTAGCACACATGGATTGATAGTCGTGACATCGATCTTGACGGAGAAGTCAGAGGATAGGGGAACGTAGAGGAGGAGATATTCTGGGTTTGGTTTTGGGTAGATTGATATAGTCTGAATGTCACACCACTTCCACAAACTCAGAGTATCCTTTAGAGATAACTTTTTCCCAGGCTTGTAGGAACTTAATCTATATGTAATATTTTTTTGTTTTATATAGAATTAGGACGTTTTGGATCCTTTGTCTGGTTTTCATTGCTCTCAGTGTCCCCACTGGGAATGTTCAGCGAACCTGTTGGTTCTGGTGACACAGACCATGTTCACTTTGCAAAGTAAATTTTCATTTAGCTTAGTGAATGAGGTGAAGCTGTGTTTATATCAGTTACCCAATCATGTGCAAGCAAACCATGTGCAAACAAAATTAGTTTGTTTTTTTTTTTTTTTTTTAAATATAATTGGGTAAGTTTTCACTGAGCTTCATCTCCTGCACTTGATTGCGGGAAATACGCTATGCGAAGAGCACATGTTCTAATATATTAGAGAATGTGGTCAAGTTTTGAGTGGCCACAGGAACAGGAGATTTGGGGAAATCTTGCAAATGATAAATCTGTTCTGAGTGCAGCTGTTTAAGAGGAGATACTCCTTTCCTTTTGGAGTGGCCTCCTCTTCCTGGTGTGCCTCTGGAATAGGAAGAGAAGGGAATTCCCTTAATTGTACACAGAAAAAAATGCACGACAGAGGTCATAACCATTCCCTACTCTGTCCAAACATAGGCTTCCCATTCACCTGAATAATGTTTTTTTTTTTCCCAAGAAAAAAAAAGAGCCAACAGTCAAAAAAATTACCATACATATTCCAAGATAATACTCTATTGCTTATCAGCTAAATTAGCAAAATTCTGGGAGGCACATATAGGCAAATTGATATGCAAAACATTTCCTGATGCAAAACTAATCTTTCAGAGAGATGAAACCCAAAGTTTATATGTGGGTTGAACAAGTAGTCTCTGCAATTGTTAGGTGGGTTTATTCAGGCATTGGTGTGTATTGATTGACCTAAGAGTATAAGCCTTGGAGAGATGGCGCTTCCACTCTCTAAAGTCTTAGCTTGATGTATAGAGTCATTTGACTGTTGTTAAGGATGTGTGAGTGGGACAACGATCCCTTGGGAGGTCAAGGATAGGCAGGGGCGGACTGACCATTTGGAAACTTGGGCACTACCCGAAGGCCCAGGTCAGTAGGGGGCCCCATGAGATTCCCCTGGTACCTTTTTCATAGGCTTTTTTGAGTTTGGGCAAAGACAAGGGGTCCCATGATCCCCTATTGCCCGGGGGCCCCCATGAGTTGTCAGTCCACCCCTGAGGGTAGGTAATGGAGTAATGAGCAGTTGGAGAGCAGGGAGAGAAACAGGAGATGAAAGAGAAGAGAGGCAACTGGAATTGTGAGGGTTCTTTGGTTAAGAGGAAAAAGACATGGCGGGGAATGGAATGGTAAGGGTAGTTGGGGGGATTGAGAAAACTGAATAGTTTTTATTAGCCATTTACAGGATTCTGGAAGATCTCCAACTCGCATGGAGCACTTGGGTCAATTATGATGTCAGTTGTCAGACCTTCATTATACTCTACTACATTGCCTGATTGTAAGTTCAGAAATGAATAATGTTGATTCATTGTCCCTTCACATTTGATTTTCTTACAGAACTGAAGTAGGATCCCAATTAGCAAATAAGGTAGGTTTATTATCAATATACCTTTGGAAAATAGAACTAAAACAGAGCAATATGTCTACTGTTTATGGGATGATATAAAAGTATAACATTCTCATATTTTTAAAACAACATCTAATGACCATTTTCTGCTGTGCTTGTCACATACATAGTGGGGAAGATTTACTAAAACTAGAGCATTCAGAATCTGGTGCAGCTATGCATGGTAACCTATCAGCTCGTTCAATTAAGCTTTGACAATAAAATCTGGAAGCTTGGTTTCTATGCAGAGTTGCGCCAGATTTTGCACTTTTTCAATTTTTAGTAAATAACCCCCATTGTCTCAAAGGAACACTGTATAATTTTAAAGCCTAAAATAATGCATGTTATTAATGTACTAAATAAAACTATATGTTTTTATATAAGATGTTCATGCTTTAAATCCTGGGGTGTCCAGCCTTTTGACCTTCCTGGGCCACATTGGAAGAAGAGGAATTGTCTTGGGTCACATTTGATCGGGCACAGCAGCCCATTAATTTCAATGGACTGCTGGGGCTGCATTTTGATGTACAAAATAAGGGGTCCTGCACTTTCCTTTCATCTCTCGCATCTGAAAACATGTTGCTTTTTTAGAGGCGTGGGGGTGCCAATAAGAATGACTGACCGCCCTCTGTGTCTGTAAAGAGCAGCGTGTTTTGGCTGTAGGTGGTTGCGGATGTGGTTACAGCTCTTATACCCACAACCACCCGCAGTAGTGTGAACCTAGCCTAAATTCACGGACAGTTTGTAAAATCTGTGATTTTTACATCTGTCTTTGTTACAAACATGCAGTCTGCAGTTATTCAGACATTCATGAACAGATGTAAAAATCATGGATTTTACAAACTGTCCTTAAATTTAAGGAGCAGGGCCCTCCTTTCCCTCTTGTATTGAACTGTATTGTTGCTGTATTGTCTCCCGTTATAATGTAAAGCGCTGAGCAAACTGTTAGTGATATATAAATCCTGTATAATAATAATATAATAGTGGTTGGTAACTGTGTGGGGAGGTAGAGGGGAGGTTGTGGGTGGCGGGCTTCAGGGAGAGCAACTGAAATCACTTCAACACCCCCCATCCCATACATCCATGTGGCATTTACTTACCTGGCGCTATGTAGAATCCCTGCTTTAGCTGTTTTACAAAGATGGCACCCTAGACATTCTTTTAGCTGTGCTTGTTCTTGAATTCTCTGTGCTGCTTCAACTTCTATGCAAATTGGTATACATGGCATTCCCTCCATATGTGCTAGCCGATGTGGCTTTTCTTGCATAGGGTTCTTCCAGCCATGACCCAGGCCGCATACCAAACTCTTCAGGGCTGCAAGTTAGAAACTCCTACTGTAAACTCAGCTCTTTGTTGAATTGAAATAGAACTCCTACCAAAACTGTTTTTTTTTTTTTTTTCTTCCCAGGTCTGAATAGAATGAGTAAAGCTTAGAACATCTGCCTGTTTCCAAAATTATCCAGTATGAAAATCCTGGTCTCAGATCACACTATATTATAGATTAATGGAGATGTATGGCAAAAGCTATTTTGGCTATACTTCTTCCATGGGTGACAGATTGCACTTAGTTCTGCACTCCTGTGACCCATCTTCAGCCGACAATGGGTTAAAGTCCACTGTCAGCTGATGTCATGCAGGCTGAGAAGAGATCCTGCCTTTAAAGGGACTGCCTGAACCAGCAGTTGGTTCAGCCTCTCAGCGAGCTACTGAGAGCCTGAGCCAGCTGCTCCCACCCGCTCTACAGCCTGGAGCACCAATGAGTGCTGGAGGGGTAGAGTAGAGAGCTGGTGATTCACTGAGTGCTTGCAGACTGAAGACAGAGAACTGGGCGAGGGTTAATCACTCAGTTCTTGGTATTAGAGCTGGTAGGGGACGGATACAGCATGGATTGATGCTGCATCCACCTAGGTGAGTATGAATGTTTTTTGGTTTTTTTAAATACCCAAACTTCTCTTTTATGCTAATATTATTATTAATATATTCTTAAGACCGGTTGATAACATTCAGACTTAATTATAGGATTTAAAGTTGAAGTCTAACAATTTTTGTAACAAATTAGTTTTGGATTAGAGAGTACGGAAAGTTTAGATCCTCTGTGAGATTTTTATTCCTGTATATGTCCCCACATGGGAGATTTGAACCCCATTACAGTAAAAAAGAAAATAAAGCCAGAGCTACCCTGTAAGGCCTCATTTACCCAAGTGTACCGATCTGTACAAAGGGCCATGTTCACCTGCATGGGATGCACAGATGTTCCATGCAGACAGCCTTGTTTAATGACAGGCAAGTGACTAACTGCACCTGTATGAATCTCCAAGCACATACCTGACTGTACATCTCCGTGGGACTGATGCATGGATCAGGATGCAAACAACATCCAATCCATCCTGCGGGGATCGTTGACTTTTTTTTACAACTTACCTTTTCTTGGAGCGAGTCCGGTGTCATCCCCTTTAGGTTGCATGCCGACGATCCTGCGGGGATCGTCGGCATGCAACCTATACGGGGTGACACCGGTGTCGCGGCAAGATGTCTCCCATGTAGATGGTCCCCCTGAAGCAACTGCACATGTCCCAGTTTCAGGCAATATCAATCGATGATAGAACTGCTATCATCGATTGATCGTGCCTGAAACCGGGACATGCGCAGTTGCTTCAGGGGGGACATATCTACATGGGAGACACATCTTGCCGCTACACTGGACCCACTGCAAGAAAAGGTAAGTTGTAAAGAAAGTCAATGATCCCTGCAGGATGGATCGGATCTGTGGATTGAGCATAATGGATCGGAGTCCGATCCATTATGCTCAATGCGCAGATCCGATCCATCCTGCGGGGATCATCGGAGGGGGTGTCACCAAGTGTTATTGCACCGGGTGACACCAACCCTAGGGACGCCACTGGTCAGGAGTCAATATTGCAACGTGCAGGGGTCAGTTGTGTGTAATGCAGGATTCAGAGTTCAGTAGTATGCAGTACATAGTGCAGTGATTTTAGCTTCAACGTCCTCAAATATTACCTTTACTAATGTCATTAGCAATAATAAAACCCACTATCTGTACTGACCATTTTAAAACACTCTACTTGGTTTTTTTTTTTTTTTTTTTTTTTTTTTTTGTAGCTAGGGTGGAAATTCTACGATGCAGATGATTACCATCCACAAAGCAATAAACTGAAGATGGGAAAAGGGATCCCATTAACTGATCAGGTAAACACTTTTAATATATTGTAGCCCTATGATAATGAGATGTGATGCTAACTTATGTAGAAAAAAACATAAATATTTTAGATTTTATTCTCTTCACAAGTTTTTTGTTAATGCACATAAGGTCCATTTTTAATTTAAGCACCCTGAAATGACTGGGTACTTTTTTATTTTTCTTTTTACAGAGACTCCCTTGGTCTATAGGGTTAGTGCCTGGCCCTACGACTTTCACCTTTTAAAGAGTAACTTGCTTGCCCCTTTTATTTTTCTTATTTTTTTAGTCCCTGCGTAACTGCCCTGCAGCTTTGTCTGCAATTCAGGTGCTCACCTTCCCAACGGATCCAGCTTCAGGTGCAGCAGCCTGGATCCCACTTTGCCTTCTTGTTCCTCCACAGTCATCAAAGCTAGCTGTCTCTCCTGGGTTCAGAAAGCTGGTCTCCATTTATTCACTCCCGCTGGACACTTTGGGGTAGAATTTGTCAGCCACCGCCTGGCGGTATCTCTAGCTGCCCACAGCGCGGGGTTCCTCAGGGCGCGGAGTCTAAGTCCCAATCTGCTTGTTCACCAGGGCCCTGATGGTGGGGATGGACTTGGAGCAGACTGAGACCAGGTCGCGACCCCTGAGTACGTCCGGCTATGGTGGAGGGTACCGTCAGAGGTATGCAAGGAATAGAGCCTGACGTGAAGAGGCTGGCAGGCCTGACAGCAGGGACTGGATCCGTGCGGGATGGATGGGAGACCGTGGGGTATATAGCGTAGTCAGGCGGGCCAGGTCGGTAACGTGCGGGCAGCGAGGTACCAGAGGAGCAGACAGAGAATAGTCAGGTCAAGCCAAAGTTCAGCAACGGGAGATCAAATCATAAGAGCAGGCAGGAGGGTAGTCAGGACAAGCCAGGGATCGAGCAGGAGACAGCAGGGTCAGGATCAAGCAGAGGTCGGCAACGGGAATACTTCAGACAGAATGCAGGAACAGGTAGTAAAGACCAAACGGCAATGTTACATACCCCCAGCTCGTTTAAATAGCACTCCCTGCGCTGCCATTGGTGCCAGGCGCACGTCCGCAAGTGTGCATGCGTGGCCGCCGCGGTCGCCCAGGTCCTACCGCCCGCCGGTTAGTGCGCGTCGGCGTTCTGCGCATGCGCCGCCCCTCGTAAAGCCGCGAAGCCCAGGGTCCCTGAGAGAATTACTAAACCTGGTGCACTTAGAAGCTGATTGGCTACTGTGCTCAACTGCACGAAATTCTAATTTTAACTTGTTCAATTAAGCTTTGACAATAAAACCTGGAAACTGATTGGTCTCCATATGGAGCTGCCCCAGATTTTGCAATCTCCAGTTCTAGTAAAAAAAAAAAAACCTCCCTTTTGCGTTTGCAGCCTCCTAGTATGTTATGTGATATCCCAGGTATGCAGTGGCAAAAATAATTATTTGATCTCCTGCAAATTTTGTTAGTTTGCCCACATGCAAAGAAATGAAATGTCTATAGTTTTTTTTATCACAGGAGTATTTTAAATGGTAGGGACAGAATATCAACCAAAAATCCAGTAAAAACACATGATACAACAAACTGAGTTGCAGTTCAGTGAATGAAATAAGAATTTGATCCCTTACCAACCAACAATAATTCTAGCTCCCACAGTCTGGCTATGTGCTCATGTGATACACAGATTAGTCCTGTCAATTTAAAAAGGTTCTCCTAATGACGACAACTCATTATGTGTATTAAAGACACCTGTCCACATGAACTTTCTTCCATTCAAACTTCACCACCATGGGCAAGAGCAAAGAGCTTTCAAAAAAGGTCAGGGACAAAATTGCAGACCTGCACAAGGCTGGAATGGGCTACAAGACCATCAGCAAGTAGCTTGGTGAGAAGGGGATAACTGTTGGAGCGATTATTCACAAATGGAAGAAATATAAAAAAAAATCAATTGCCCTCGGTCTGGAGCTCCAGTCACCAAAAAAACTATTGGTTAAACAGTACGCCACCATGGACTGAAATCCTGCAGTATCTGCAAGGTCCCTCTCCTCAAGAAGACACATGTACAGGCCCAATTGAAGTTTGCCAATGGATATCAAAATGATTCAGAGGATTGGGAGAAAGTGCTGTAATCAGATGAGACCAAAAGTGAGCTCTTTGGCATTAACCCGACTAGCCTGTTTGGAGGAGGAAAAATGCTGTCTATGTCTTTAAGAACACCATCCCTACAGTCAAGCTTTGGGGCTGTTTCTCTGCTAAAGGTACAGGTTGACTTTGCTGCATTGAGGGGTCAATGGACAGGGCTATGTATTGTATTGTAAAATCTTGGATGAGGACCTTCTTCCCTCAGCCAGAACACTGAAGATGGGTTGTGATAGGTCTTTCAGCTGATAATGACCCAAAACATAACATCAAGGCAACAAAGGACTGGCTCCAGAAGAAGCATGTTAAGCTCACGGAGTGTGGCCTAGCCACTCTCCAGACTTTAATCCTATAGAAAATTTATGGAGGGAGCTGAAACTGCAAGCTGCCAAGCGACAGCCAAGAAACCTTATTTAGAGAAGATCTGTAGAGAGTGGACCAAAATATCTCCTGAGATGTGTGCAAACCTGGTAACCAACTACAAGAAAGGTCTTACCTCTGTGATTGCCAACAAGGGTTTCTCCACCAAGTAGGAAGTCATGTTTTGCTTGGGGATCAAATACATATTTTGTTCACTGAACTGCATCTCAATTTGTATCATATGTTTTTTTTTTTCTGGAATTTTGATTGATCGTGTGTGTGTGATATACATTTTCATGTCAAGATACAGAGGTCAACCTATGGTGAAGGGACTAATTTGCAAGACAGATCAATATAATATCATCCTTGAAGATGCACATAAAATGTATACTGTAGTAAATTAACCAGTCATATATGTACCTCAAGAGCGAGGGTTTCAACTGCACATCCTGGAAAGTAATATATCAGGGATCATTTTACAGCACTGTAGGGGCCTAACCAGTATATCAACCACAACTCCCTTAGATGTATGACACAATCAATTCTATTCCCACCATCATCAGGATTCTCAACAGAGTAATAAAAATTAGTACCTGTACCACAAGTAAGGCCTGAAAGGTCTTCCATCCCTGTAGTGACCAATAGTAAGACTTAGGAGACAGAAGTGGGTGGGACCATGCACTGAACTCATGGACCACAAAAGTGTCTACAGTCTGCAGCAACCGTGTATTTCTGCTCCCTGGAAAACATACACTGAAAATAGACCTGACTTGCAGGGACCTAAAGTTGCCTGCTGTATGCTGAGACAGGAAGGTAATTTGCACTTAAATTTTAGTTTAAAGAGATAAAGTGATAGTCTTTTTGGACAGGGCAATCTGAGCCCTGGTATACTTTCCTTACCTGCACGCCTTCACAGATCCATGCTCCTCTGCAATTGGCAGCTCTTTCATTTATAGAGGAGCGTAATTCTGACTAAGGCCCAAAGTTTGAGGGCCTGAAATGCATCAATCTTTACACTGGATGGTTTCTTTTTATGTCTCGATGGATAATGAATAAAGTACTGCAATTTTATTTCATACTGCATGTGTGCTGGACTTTCACTTATCTCATAGACGAGTGTGTGATCTGTTCCTCAGTGATGGTGCTCAGGTCTAGCAACTGATGGCTCCCTTGGGCTTGTGACACTGTCATGGCATTAGCTGGAAAAAAGCGAGGAGCTACGAGCATCCAAAAGTAAGGCGAGTATATTTGGGTCAAGTGATGCCATTTCCAGAGAAAGTGTCAGCCAAATGAAACTTATCAGCCAAATTAAACCTCATTAATCAATTTCCTAAATAAACTGACTGTGTTGGTCAGTAGTCCCATTTCAGTTTCCCTTTCATTTTGAATGTAAGTGGTTGTGAATGTTCTTTTTTTTTTTTTATTTTTAAATAACATGGTACACTTGCCTGCTCTATGCAACAGTATTGCACAGATCAGCCCGAAACCTCCTCTTCTGTCTGCTCCTTCTCTTCTGTATCTGACCGTATAGCAAACCACTTGATATGGGGGCAGATGTGCAGGTTCGCTCCCAAGCCAGGCCACACGCACACACGATAGATAACTCACTGTGTTATAGTTGACTTCCTTTCAAGCAGTAAAAGCACAGACCAACAGAAGCAGGTACAGTTCTTATGAAACATGCATAGTGTGAGTACACCTTTTAATTGCACAATCTCACCTTATCTGGCCAAGTGGCTCCAGCCTAATCGAACAGGCATGTTACAGATGACTGCGCCTATCCTATGTTTATCTCCAAAGAGCCATAGGATTTTTAGAATCTGGGATGACCTGTTAGGCCAAAAGTGACCACAAATTCCTCTGGGCCTCAACTCTTACCTTCCTTTTTGTCCAAAAAATGCCCTGAGGGGTCTCGCTGGCCAGTAGGAGGGGAGTGCTGGCAAAAGGAATATGAACAGAGATTGGTTAAAAAAAGCCATGGTCAGTATTTGCATTATAGAACACCTTGGATTTTATTAAGTCTGTGCTACTCTGATAGCCATACATTAGTCTAAAAATTGTTCAAACAGGTGTTCGTAAAATGAACACATGGTTGTGAAAGAAAACTATATTGCCAATGGACATAAAAGTATCAGTTTTTCATCCTTGTTTGCTTGTGGGTCACATATGTGCAGTATCAACAGTTCAATTTTTAAAGCGCAAGAAAGACATATTAAAGCAACTTTAAACCTTGTTTTTTTTTTTTCCTTGTTTGTTTAAAAAAAAAAAAAAAAAAAAGTATACTTACCTACTCTGTGCAGTGGTATTGCAAAGAGCAGCCCGATCCTCCTCTTCTGGGGTCCCCTGCCGGCACTCCAGGCTCCTCCTCTAAGGAGGGTGCCCAGATGGAAAGCCGCTTAAGGCTTTAGAACCACTTTAAAGGCACTTTTTTTTTAAAATCACATACTTGTCTGTTCTGTGCAGTGGTTTTACACAGAGCAGCACTGATCTTCCTCTTCTCAGGTCCCCTGCTGGCATTCCTGGC